CTTTCATGGAAACAAAACATTTTTCTGTTTATGTACATACATTGCAATTTCCACTGGGATTCTTTCCTTATCAGACCTTAATTTGATTTGCTTATTTGCTTACAGTCGCACATATTTCCATGAATGTGCAAACAAATTAAAGGGGGGGAAAATGGTATCACAAATCAGAGAGGGAAAACTTTTAAAAGTCCGTGGCCTTTTTTCCTTTCCAACTTGGAAGATAATATTAATTTCTTTTTTTTTTTTGTCTTTTTTCGTGTCCGGCAACGGATCGCAACCCTCAGTGTCGCGCCCGTACTGGACCGGGACCGGCAACAGGATCGCAACCCTCGGTGTTGCGCCCGCACCCCGCTCAGCCAGTGAGCGGGAACTGGTCCGTATGTGGGATCTGAACCCTCGGCGGGAGCGCCGCCGCGCTTCCCAAGCGGAGCACTGTAGCAGTGCGCCACCGGGCCAGCCCTAATATTAATTTCTATATGGAGTGTGTAAGGTCAAGTATTTCCACACTTGCATTTTTAAGGAGATGCAGAAACCTGACTGCCTGTCCTTTTTGGAAACCTGGCAAATCCCATATGGCCATGGCTGTGAATTATATTCCTTAGGGCTTCTGACACTTCCTCAGCTGTATTTCGGGGTTTTTGGGTTTGCTATATATTTGCAGCACCTTGTACAGGGATAGATTTTTCACTCTTCTGCTTCTTTGCTTATAGGAATTATTATAGCATGATTTCCTGAGGACAGAATTCTGAGCTTCTGTAGCTTGAATGTTACTGGAAATGAGCTCGTCTGATGCTGTTCACTGAGTAATCGCATCTCTCCCCCATTTCAGCTGAGCTTTCAGCACAAGATCGGGATCCTCTATTGCAAAGCAGGCCAGAGCACAGAGGAAGAGATGTACAATAACGAAACAGCGGGACCAGCTTTCGAAGAATTCCTTGATCTTCTGGGCCAGAGAGTACGGCTGAAAGGATTCAGTAAATACCGCGCCCAGCTAGATAATAAAAGTAAGCTCCGTGTGTGTGCGTGTGTGCACAGGGTTAATTCTCCAAAGGTAGGCATGCGGCAGGAATCTCAGCACGTGATCACGTGCCCTCCTGTTCTTGACCCCAGAAGCCACCCAGCGCGCTTCTCTGGGATAGAGTTCAGATGTCCTCAGATAAGCAAACGACGCACATTTCTCAGGAGGTGTGAGCGTCACATCATAAGCACAAAAGGTCAGTCCCTTTTGCTTTGTAACTCCAGCAGAGAGAGTCCCCAGTGCTTCATGAAGATCTTCTAGCATTTCCTCCTCTCTTTCAGCCTCGCCTCTTGTATCATATACCCTTGTCTCAGTACTCCAAGGACAAGCGCGGTACTCGTTTCTAAGAGACAAAAGTTAAACACGTTCATTTATGCTGTGTTGTCAGGCTTATTTTGTTCCTTTCTGTATTCATCATGTTACCTGGGGAGTTGGAGCAGTGATTAAAAAGCTGGTCCGAGGGCCGGCCCGGTGGCGCACTGCTACAGTGCGCCGCTTGGGGGC